GATGAGTACAATATTGATAATGAGTAAACCAAGAAAAAGAGCAAAATCATGATGAGAAAAAAAAAATAAAACGATACCCTACCACCCCCATCCTTCCCTGCTATCCAAATGAACAGCTTGTCTCAACAGTTTGTAGAGAGGAAAAGAAAAAAAACCGGCAACAATTCATTGTGAGCAACTGTTGTTTTTCTAATACCCTTAACTAGCAAATGTCTGTGTCACAATCAATAATAATTTTTAAAGGTTATATTTTAATAGCACAAGCCAAGAAACAGAAATAAGATTGATTCCATCACTTATATATTTGAGAAATACGTATTTGAGAAAAGTGGTAGACTCAACCTTATTTCTCTTCCTTGAATGAAAGAAAAGAGAAGGCTGCCCCCAAACAGATAAAAAACAAAACACAATGAAACATAGTCTAGTCTCTAGAGGAAGACTACTCTGCACACCTCTCGCATTCAGCTAGTTTTTGCTTGTTAGAGTGATACTAGTTAAGGCAAAAGAAATGCTTGTGTTCACAGTCCAGAAAGTCAGGAACAAGATTCAAAGCACTGAAAGGTGCTTTATTTCTGAAATTCTGACAAGGACATGACTCCTCCGAAGTAAAGCTGGTATGGCCAAGGTCATCTAATAGTGGATGCATCTACAAAAGACGTCTACTGCAGAGCTGCCTAATTAGCTCCACAGTAAAGTCTCAATGTATACATGTGCGGCTCTACTAGGCTGCAGGAAACTAATTAACTCTGCTGCAAGTTAGTACTTGTAAATGCAAGTACAATTGTATGGCAGAGTCCTTCAACACACAGCAACACGCATGCAGATGCTGACAGGGCTGGCTGGGACATAAGGGTGCTTCAGTGCCGGGGCTGCCTGCTATCCCCTTCACAGCATGTTGAGCTGGGACAGAGCAGCCCCTGCCTGGCAAGCTTACCTGCCTCCGCCTCACACAAGCCCCCTGCCAACGTGCTGTGATCTCAGGTGCACATGTAAATGCAGTGCCCAGGAGCATATGTCCCAGAGTTGATTGCTCTGTGCTAATAGCACATGTAAATACACCCAATGTTAGCAACTTCCCATCCCAAACGCCAGTTAGAATTCAAATGGAAAAAAAAAGTATTAGTTAATATTTACTGTCATGCATATATGCCTAAAATTGCTAAAAAAAAAAAATAATGCTCGTTTCTATTTCAATGCTAAATACAAGAGTTGGAATCACAATAAGAATATAGAATGATTTTCATTTTTATGATGCCTTTCACTGAAGGTAAAGGCATGGTAAATGTTGCCAATTTGATCCTTGCAACTTCTCTATAAAATATTCTTTCTTCACAGGCTTTCCCCCAATGAGAGAGATGAGGAATTAGGGCTGGAGTGACTTTATGAGTGCAATGAATCAATGGCAAAGGTGGGAGGAACACCTGGAACTCCTTACCTCCCAATTCCTTCCTCCAGGACTAAAAGTTATCTTCCTCGAGAAGAAAAGTTTGTTTAGACTGGAGATATGGACCTAGAGATAGAGACTTTTGCTGCGTATAACGTAACCAGTGTTCTTCTACAGATTATCCACCCAGCTCAGAGCAGCCAGGGGCTTCAGTACCCCCTTTATTTATACAGCCTTTCATTAACTTCTTAGCAAACCCTTTAAATAAAATACCCACCTACACTGATTTTAAACTAAGACTCTCATTGCTATATGTAGGGACCTATTCAATTCGTGGTTTCATGGACTTTGAGGAAACCCTGAAATTGTGGGTGAAATCTGCAAAAAGACAACACAAAAAAAAGCTTAATAAAAATAAAATGCTGGCTCCCCAGTGGTCCTTGCTGCTGGGAGGACAAGGCGCCAGCTGGCAGGGTGGCACAAAGGCAGCAGACAAGATGGTGGCTACCCCCTTGTCCCTCCACCAATCAGCACCAAGGGGCAGGGTTGCCACAAAATGACCGTAGAATTAAAGCTTCACACGGCAATCAATCCATAGCAAAAAGTGGTAAGTCTCCCTGCAATTTAGGTAGATCCCTAGCCATATGTGTACATAGTCTCTACACGAGAAAGGTTAGTTGGATCTGGATCTCTTAATCAAGCAGCCTTAACCTACAAATGTGTCTTTCAGGTTAGTCAAGCTTTCCAGGCACCCAATGCCAAGTAACCAACTCCCACCTATAATACTGGCAACCTATCCTAGGTTTTCTTTGTAGCTGTTGGTAGTTTTTACCTACAGCAGTGGTCACCAACCTGGGGATCCTGATTGACAGGTAGATCCCAGAGCCTCTTTGGGTTGATTCTGGGCTGGAGGACAGCTGGATGCATGCAGATACGCCAACCCCAGTAGGTCAATCTGTGGGGGAGGAAAGGGGCAGGAACCAGAACAACCGACTGTGCGGCTCAGCCAGGAACAGGGGAAGGTAAGTGGGGCCACAGCCCGGCTGGGTGATGGGAAGATTGGAGCCCAGGGGCTCCTCCAGGGGTGTGGGGGGGCTCCCTCCCCATCTCTACAGGGGCAGAGGCAGCTGCTGTTGCACCTTGAGTCCCGCTGCAGCTGGCCACATGTGGGCATAGCTCTGCTCAGCAGCAGGGACTCACGTGGGGACAGCCTCAGCCCAGCCAGGGACAGGCAGGGTGGGCTGGTAGTAGATCCTGGGGAGCCCTTTACTACTAAAAAGTGATCTTCACCATTCAACAGGCTGGAGACCACTGACCTAGAGAACTGACCCCATTACCTGGCTAAGGGTTAGGATCTTTTAGCCAGACTCAACTGAAGAGATGCAGCTAACAGTAAAAGAAATTCTCTAGTGGCTGCCTCAACTCCATAGAAAAGCCCTGTTTGTCCTGTGGCTCCTCTATTAGCAAGTGACTACTTTCTCAAGCTTTTAACTTGGAGTTTTATGAGGTCTAATGGAGCAGTTATTTTCCTTAATTTTGCCAACTTTTGCAAGCAATTGAAAGGGTCACCATAAACTAAAACTACTGTGTAACTCACCATTGTATGTATAAGGAATCAGAACCCATTTCTAGTAAGGTTCTCATACTGCCATTACTAAAAAGCAAATCATTTTATATCTTAGTTGATAACTTAGAAGAAGGAGCCATATTACTGACATCACATGGCTAAAGGTCTCCATTAAGCAATCTGGAATTGCATTAAAACCTTCCACAGCATTCATTCTAGTTAGCAAGATAGTAAGTATATATCTGTGTACAACACTCAGATCACTGTCCTTGGGGCTACTCAGTACAGTGCAAGTGTCTGAAATATCTCTCCTGTGATTTCTAGTGTGTACAGGTTGTTTACCTACCTAACGTCCAAACTCCGGTGCAACTACTAGACTTTTTCAATGGTTTAAAAATCAAATCATCATCATTCATACTGTTTTTATAAGTATCCAGAAAATCTGGCCTTGTATATCTTAGAAATAAGCACTATTACAGTAAGAGGCAATGCAACTATAAACAAATTAATTACATGATTACAAGACGCTTCATCTTTAGAAGACCCAAAATAGGCCCTAAAAGACATACAGTGTCACATATGATCCATCAAAACTTTGCCATTTACTCACCATTCCTCCTTCTCCATGTTCTCCACATTAGTTTTCCAAAACCTAAATATAACCCCTTTCACAGACCAGACAAAAAAGATGCAGTATCTACCACCATTTCATTGTACTGGCTTCTATTCTACTATAGAAAGTCAGAAAATAAATACCACGGTCCTAATCCAATTCCACACCCACACATACAGAGCTGAAAGGGGTAAAGGCCTTTGTAATTTCACCCCCCCTTTTTTTTTTTAAGTCAGCAAATATAGCCCAACACATATAATGCATAGCATTTAGCAACAGACAGGCTTTTCAGTTCTTATGACACAGACATTTGGGCTAATGTTAAAACAGATTATTTGGATTCAGATTTAGAGATAAGCTTAAAAGCAAAAAAATTAAACCCAAGTACATTTCTTCTGGATACAATATAATAAACAAGTTTTCAACTGTGATGGTATTCTTTACATCTTATCAACTCATGAAAACACAGAAGCAACTCAACACACACATATGACAAACTAGCTTGTGTAGTATGGATGCCATCTTGTGGCAAGCAGATGTTTCTCCCCAGAAAAGGACAAGAAGCACATTCTTTGCCCAGCCAAGGGTATGACAAACCATAACTCATTTCTTTCAATTTCCAATTTATTTAAAAAAAAAAAAAGTCAGCACTGTAAAGAACAATCAGGACTGATGAACTGTGTCATTTCAGATGAAAAGGCACTTGGTACCCAATCAATTTACTGCCTCCACATACTCCGTCTCAGGCTGTGGTCCCATCAGTTCGCACAAGTAAGCAGGGTTGGGACATGGTCAATACATGGCTGTTTCCCTAAAGAACCCCAAGGATGCAGAAGGAAGTGACCTCTCTAAATCAATAGGTAGCACTCTCCCTCAACAAGGGATCTGGAATGATTTTAGGATACTGTGCTTTGGCATGAGCCAGATTTGAAGTGGACTGCACTGAGGTCCTAAAAAATATATCACTCAAGTCTTCATTTATAAGGGAAGGCAATTCAGGCTTCAGACCCTGGCCAAATTCTATCTGGGTTCATTTATGCACATTCAGTTTCAACACTATTACTTTCCATGTCCTGTCTTCATTTGTAATATATCGTTTTGAATGCAATAAAATATCTGTTGTGCTTCAGCCCATCGATGACAGTAATAAATAAATCCGTTGAAGAACCAATATCCTAAATATCCAGTGTACATTTCATCCAAAAGACTCCTCTAGTCATTCATATACACAGAGGCAAATTCTCCAGACTCTACTTACCTATAGTCCTTAAAGATAATAGCAGCACATCTGAGCAAAAAAATTAACTCTTTAATACAATTACTGCCAATTTCATAATTATTTAAATATAAATTACCAAAAAACCCAAAAATGACCATTTTATGTTTTAGTTTAAAAGCTCTATTAAAACAAGAACCTGAAGGAGCGTGTACTGTACCTTCGATATAAGTTTTCAACAAAAATGTTTTTTGCACTGTGAATCGACCTCTCCATCATTCTTATGGGGGAAACCTACAAAATAAAATCAAGAGTCATTGACTAGTTTACGTTCTCTAGCGCTGCTCATTTCTTTCAACTCATAAAATTCTTTTTACCTCCAGCTTCATGGTCACTGCATTATTAAAGGCCCTACACTACACCAAGCTGGGTTTTTTTCCAAAGTTGGAAGTCAGACTATTTGCTTGTTCAGAACAGAAGAAATCACTCAGGAAAAATTAGGTATATAAATCTTGGATTCTAAGAGCAGGAGTTTCCTGACATGCTAGCCTTATGGAAGATGGATTAAAGCTGACTGCAGAAGCACCAGACCCAATACAAACAGGCTAATCACCAGCTACTTAATTAGAAAAAAAAACCCTGTGGTCCATTAGAAGCCGCAGATGAATGCCACTGCCCAATTTGTAGGTGCTTATAGTGGAGGGAAATCACAGAAGCTATGGAAAGGAAAGAGAATTTTAGACCCATCTCCAGTGGGCTACTCCTCCTCCTCCAGCAAGGTCAAAGCAGTGACTGCAACTGGCAAGTTGCGCATCTTTTTCTGATGCACCACCCAAATGTACTTCTCTTCTGGGGAGTGAGGCAACACTGGAAGAGTTTTTTTCCAGTCAGCTATTTGACACAGAACTAAGGATCACACAAATTACAACTGTCCCTGCGAGGGCGAGATAGGCCTAGCAGCAAAACAGAGAGCAAAATGCAAGGGAATTTTTAGGTTTTAATGAGGTCTTATGTATGTTGCTTGCTAGTGACAGACTGATTTTTAAATATTAAAAATCCCAAATGGAAAAGGAATTTTGGGCATTTCTGTGCAGCTGAGCTGGGAGATGTCCAGGATATGAAAGTGTCTTCTGGAAACCAGGCAACCCCAGGTGTCAGGCATGGCATGTGCTCCTTTGCATGGTGACATCCTGGAAACCTTCAACTCCTAGCTGTTTCATAACAGCACTGGTTCTTTTCAGGGTGCTCTGTAAGCCAGAAGTCTGGAAGATTTTGTCTGTGGAACACAAAAACAGACTATGCACCCGAGGATGGGGAGGGAGCAGGCATGGTTGCACACATAAATGGGTGTAGGTGTAGAGGGGGTGGCCTTTGGTTTCACGGCACCCCATTGCAACTTCCATAGATGGCAGCTGTATGCACTTCCTCAACTTTAGCACACGCAACAGCACTTTGCAGGCCTTCTTAAAGCAGTTCAAGATGAGGAAAAGCCTCCCGGCACATATCAGAGGATGGCCAGGTTCAAGTATTTTACTGTTGGTCTACAACAGGGGTGGCCAACCTGCAGTATGAATGCCACAAGTGTCACAGGCAGCCTTCATGTGGTGCACACGGCATATCAGGGAGGGTGCAGGGAACATAATGGCGCAGGGAACATAATGGCAGACAGGGCAGGACCCAAAAAGCAGAGCAACAGATTGGGCAAGGAACAGAAAGCATAGCAAGATGGTGCAGGAAGCGGAAAGCAAAGCAATCACTTCGTCAGGGGAAGGGAATTGAGTGGCACCAGGAAGTGTGTGGAACTTATTTTGTGGCCTGCTTGCCAAAAAAATTGCCCCCCAGTATTTTAAGACTGGTAGAAACTCAGCTGTTATAAAAGGCTACTAATCTCAGTATCTTTCCTCTGAAGCTTGCCCTCTTAAACTACTACTCAGGAATCACTTACCGCTTTTATTAGCAAAACAAAGATTCTCCCCCCACTACATCACACTAATTACCCTCAAAGCTACACTAAACACACCGTTAATGGGGTCAGCCCAAGACAGAACATGTTTCAGTACAGAACCTGAAGAAATGTCACTTACAAGACAGAAAGGAAAAAACTAATGAAGGCCCAAGCCCCCACCTTATATATCTATACCAAAAGAGTAACAGTTAGTTATAGAAGGCAACAACTGTACATGGCACTTTAACAAAGAAGGATCCCTGCTCAAAAGCAAATTCAGATGCCACAACAAACTTTTCAGGTAGAAGAGTAACCTGAGACAGTATCAAGTGGCCAGAGAATGAGAAATCCAGATCAATGAGGTCTCAAGCCAGGACAAGAACTCCTTCCACATGGAAATTCTCACTAGTCTCAAGAATGAAGACAAAGTCACACCTTCCTAGCATCTTTATCTGTTGGCTGCAGGTCAAAGTATCTTTAATCAAAAAAACACATCTTGATATCTGTTTCTGGGTACAAGCAGAAATTTACCATTGGTCTGGTGTGTTGGTCCAGCATGGTAAGTTGTACATATGTCTGTAACGTAATCCCCCATCGTGATGCATCTTGATACATTAAACCCTGGTGTTGAGGATTAGAGAGTAAAATAGAAATGGAAACAGGTTAGACCAATTTGTTTCTGTCAAACATTTCATGACTCTTTATAACTACTCAGAGTTGCTAAAATGATATCATTTACTTATGAAAAAAACCATATTGATCATCTGCATTTGGCAGAGCGTGTATAGGAATTATGGCCCCAGGATGGAGACACATAAAGAAGACAGAACTCAAACCAAGTTACAGGTGCTCAGCACTGGATGTTCGCCATTGCGACTCGTGTACTGGAAGCTGTCTCTAGCTAAAGTTTGACCTCTGAGAGAGGGCAAGCTGCTCACCGCCTAACAAAAATTGCCTTCATTTCTGTGTTCCAGGTCAAGAAGCAATTTTTCAGGGCACCCATTAATGCTGCAAGCAGAAGCATCTGGATATAGCTGGAATAGACCAAGACTGAAAACAAGGTGTCCTTTATCCAAAATATTATAACTATTTTCCCTTAAGGCTCCTCAAACCATCTCTCAGATCCTCAGTATTCCTGTCCCACTTCAATTATCTTCCCCATACCTGTTAAATGTCAGCCCTTAATGAAATTCAAAGAACACAATATATTGTCTAAATGGGACTTCTAAGCATCTAGTGCTGTTTAAAAAGGCACAGGGGCTTACAAGGAGCTGAACTGCCTGGGGCCACATATCCCTCCTCAAAAGATCCCCAGTGAGCAGGTGAGTACTTCTGCAGAGGCTGGTGATATAGCCAAGTAGGAGGAAAGTGCACCCAACCCTACACAAGGAAGAGAAACATACTGAAAGCAGAGCATCAGTAATCTACACCCAAAGGAATCTGCTCTTCTCCAGTACAGCTATGAACAGCGTAGGTTCAGGAATGCAGGGACTTTGCCAGGTGGCAGTCCAGACTGTCACAAGATTAAGAAATGCCTATGCTAACCTGGGTAAAAGAAGACATCTAGCTGTAGCACCAAGGAGTTCTGCACAGGCTCATGTACTAAGAAACAGGATAAATTACGTTGCTCTGAGCTTCCGGTTTCACAGCTAAGTAGATTCTAGTACCCAAGCTAGGCTGTGTAACACTAGCTCACACGTCTCTACGCCATGCTGCAGCCTACAATCAGACAAACCCTAGAGTGCACATGCAGTTTAGCCTGAAAACTAAACTTATGATTTATTTCAGTGTGACCACCTGGTTTCATCAGTAAGGCCGTTTACCAGCTGGAGAGGGCAGTTTCCAACCAATGCATGGCTGCCCTTGGAACTGTGACAACCAATTTGCAAGGCAAACTGATGAGCACCCTCCACTCTCACTAAAGTCAATGGAGTTGCCCCACACCCTATCCTTCTTCATGTGTCAAGAAACACTCCCAGAAGTCCACAGCCACTTATTTCACTCTGTTCTATGTGTGTATTTTACAATTACATAAAGCCCTGTCCTCTCTGACTAACAATATAAAAAGCTGGCCCAGTGTGAGTCTGGTTACAAACAGGCAATAACAGGTCCTTGTAGCTCTAAACCCGCATTCAACCTCCATCCTGCCACCTGCTCTTTGCAACCAGACCATCATGCCACTAGAGTCCCTGTGACTTGAAAATAAGACTCTGCATGGGCACAGTGTCTATGAGCAAGTGACAAGGTCAAAGCCTGTGCCCCTCACTGGTACAGTCTTTTATAAGCAACATCACTTCAGTGCTTACCCCGCAAACACAGAAAAGCATCATCAGTGGCAGGTGTGGTTTTTCACTTACAAGACTTCAGCCACATCCTTCCCAGGGGCTGTATTGATGGGTATGAAGCTACATAGACACTAGACTTTGAGAATGTAAGGACACACTGTTTAAAAAGTGACAGTATTTAGAGGATTTATTTCTGCTGCTTACCAGGAGATTATGACCGTGAACATTCCTCCATTTCGCCACTGGTTCCGTCAAAACCTTTTTTTAAAAATGACATTCATTTCACATTACCCAAGTGGTTTAGAAAGTGTATCTGCATGTATCAACATAATAAGAATAATTAATTTAAAAAAAATAGGACTACAGTCATGGACAGGAACTCATTCATTTTTTAAAAAGCACTGAATAATGAAATTAAAAACTTTAATATTAGAGAGCTATTATAAAAATTAAAAACATGGGTTTTCATTACCAAAATGTCCTTTTTCATTATTTTCATCAATCTAGAAAAATAAAGCATTGACAGGCTGATATCATAGGTCTCCCTGTAATGAATCCTTCGCCTGCATTTATCAGTAACAGCATAGAGGGAAAAGAATGGATACCAAATATAGACAGTGTTTCATCCCAAAGACCTGATTATTCTTCCACATATTAATTTCCCATAGGACAACACTGGTAAACAAAGGAATAGAAGCTGAAGAGCAATATGCCTTTGTACAGAATGCTCATTTTATTTCTGAGATTTAAAAGATGCAGTAAGGTCTTTTATAAATGATCAAAATTAAACAGAAAAAGATCTGCTGTGTCCAAAGCAGGCAAAATTGTATTAGACTCCCAAGGGGCTTCATGCCAGCATAAGAATTCACCAGTATTGTAGGATCAGGGTCTAAGGGAAACCTGGCAAAATCAATCAGTCTGCTTCACACGTGCCTTTAAATGTTTAACATTTTAGGCTGCAGGCACACTAGGGAAAAAAAAAACCAAACTATTGTTCAAGTTAATGGCTACTTATTCCTCATGGATTTATGCCTTTCAAATTACTAAGTGCCCTCCTGATGCCTAGTATTCCCATAAAGAATCCTGGACTTCTGCATTAATGTTTCACAACATTTAAAATTTGATGCAGACAAAAATGTACATCTAGTGAGGTTTTTCTGATTCTGTTTTGTTTAAACCAATACGAGGTTTGTCTTTTCCCTACCTAAGAAGTTTCATTTAAATCAAACTCCTCCATCCCCATGGGTCAGAGAAGGGGTACACCACCAGTTCGTGGGCTGAATCAGGCCGAGATCAGCCCCCTGTGCTGCATGCATCACGCAGGACCAGTCAGCACATGCACTGCATGTGGCATGTGGGGCTGATCCAAGGCCCATGGAAAGCACCATGGGCTGGATCAGAGGGCTCCAGGTGCCATCCCTTTGTCACCCCCGGTTTAAGAGGATGTGAAATCAAATCCTGTATCTGCTGGATATGTTCCAAAGATCAATTATCTAAGCGTATTTTTCCAGCCAGCATAACTTTACCTCAGTTCTATAGCTATGTAACCAACTATCTTCAGCTTCTTTACTTCTGCTCTCTCTTATGTGGTTTTCCGTTAAGGATACATTTAAGACTTTACAAAAAATCTATTAATCAAAGTGAATAAAAATGATGGTTCTACTAGTTATTCTTAATTTATGGCAAGACAAGTCTTTATTACCAAAATGCATTGTTTCAACATCAAAACATTTTCTGAGTTGTGTGCATTTCATTTCCTCTATCCTACTATTAATTTCTCTTTAAAATATTTTATCATAATTCCACTCTAACAGTAGCCAATACTATTCCATGCCCCCCACCCCCCCCCGCACAATGCAGGTCAGAGGAGAGCACTCCCCCCCACACCTGGCACCCATGCGGCAGCTGCCACATGGTGTGGGTGCACCGCAGTTTCGCAGGGTGCTGCATGCTGCCTGGGAGCTGGGGCCGCTGGGGCTAAGTGGTGCCGGGCTCTGGCTGACAGGTGGAGCCGGCCCAGCTCCCACGTAGCATGCGGCGCCTTGCTGAGCTGCACTGCACCACTGCCCCACACTGCGCAGGAGGGGCTCTGCCATGAGCCCTCAGAGGCCCCAATCCCCACTGCCAGAGTCGGTGAGTGCGGGGATTTTAAGGGCCGGGAGGGGGATGGGGCCAGACAGGGCAGCCATGAGGGCTTCTCCCGCGGCCCCTCTGGCTGTGCCTGCCTCTGCCCTGGCGGGGGGAGCTGCAGGTGCTATGCCCTGCTGCTGCTTGTGAAGCTGGCATGGCGGGGGTGGGGGCACAATGTAGGCGCAACTTGCTTTGGGCAGCAGCAAGGCATAGTGCCCACATCAGCACTAGGAGCAGGGGCTCTGCCCTGCTGCCACTCGCCCCCTTCTGCCTAGAGCTAGCTGCACGCGCATCCCACCCCCATCAGCTGGGCAGCTTGTCCCAGTTCCAGCCCCGATCCCTCCCCACAACCACGACAGACTTGTCAGCTGCCTGTTTAGTCTATGGCCAAATCTCTGAAGCGGCCAATTCTTTTCCAAAGCTTTTCTGTATCAATTCAGATGCTTCAAATCGATTCGGAGCTTTTAATTGGTCTCCCGATTCCATTTGGAGATTTAGTCCCTGAATCGGGCCAAATCTCCTCCAAATCAAATCAGCTACTGAAGCTTTTCACAGCCCTAATGAATACTGTCAATACTATAAACTGCAAGACAAGGACTTGATTGAGCAGTAAAAAAATCCAGTACCTCAATGCTGGTAGTTTTTGCAAAATAATCCAGGCATGTTGTTTTCCCACTTGCAATATTCCCCTCGATACAGATCTGATGAAAAACAATATCAACCTTTCAAACTAAAGGAAGTTTAACACCAAAGCAATGAGCAACTGTATATGCAAAGATCCCTATGTATAAAATTAATGTATTTAACAATTCTAGTGCCATTGTAATGAAATGATTTCCAATATAACCCCTAGAGTTCAAGATGTAGGGTGTGATTTACCATTGCAGTGCATTAGTAATACACTGGTGTAACATGCTGAAAGCTGGCATAAAATGAAATGGTAAATATGGCAGTAAATATTTAAATGCACACATTCAGGACAGGTCTGGGCCTCAGCCACGCAACCTGATATCCACTGGCTTCAGTGAGATCAGACTTTCAAAACTGCCTGCACAACAGCACATGCAGGTCCTAATCCCCTAAGCATGGCTACATTTACTGCAGCCATTAAAATAATTGGAGATTGATTCCCAAAGCCTATAAGGTTTGGGCGACTAGGTCTATGCAATTCTTCCAATTTAGCCCATTCCCCATTCCCAACACAATGTCTTATTCAGATGCAAAGAACCCCTTACCATGGCACCTAAGAGTTAAGGTGCTGCTGCTAGCCCCTGTAAACTCAGTGCAATTCATATAAATGTTACCCACCTCCCCCAAGACTGAAATTTAAAATGTGTATTTCATGGTGAATTACATTTGAAGCAACCTTTCTACACCCAAAAATAGATTACAATTTCTTTCAACTATCCATGTTACTAAAATTAATAATGGGCCTAATACCCAGCTATCTAATACAGCTTAAAGAATCAGATTGAAAAAACGGTTAATTGAGGGCTACCTAGAATTTAGTCAAAATTAATGTAATTTATTTGAGCAGGTTACATGCAGAGTGCAGAGCACCAGCCCACTCAGTTGGGAAACTTATTCCACGCAGGCATTTTCTCAGTGGGAAAGAACCCTCTCAATTGTCTTTTAAGTTACAGAGCACTTCAAATTACAGCAGGAATCAGACTGCCGGTAAGAAGGTGCAGGACTGGACTCTATTTGTGCATCACTTCAGACAAGACCAAAATCATTTCCTTGGGTTGTATCATCATTACATACCAGTAGGCCATATTTTTTACATTGTTCTGAGTAAAATACTTACAAGACTCTTCTTCTTGCCATCATTTGTCAGGGGTTTATCTAGGACAGGAGCAAATATTGTTTGAACCAGGAAAGTACTTTTAGGTTATATAGGTTATACTTTTGTTAGGGTACCAGAGTCATTAGGAAGACTCTTGTGAGCCCCAACAGTTTTGAGTTTCAGGTTCACTGGTTAGTTTAACTGATATGCAGGATAACCTGTAAACTCTTGCGGCTATTATTCTTTTATCCTTTAACTTACATATTATGTAGTACAAGGAGCTAAGTGGCGGGCTTATGCCTCATACCTTTCTCAAGGAGGCTTTTCTGTTTTATTGTTACTCCTTTGTTAGCTTCTTGAAGAGACAACAGGCCTCCATCTTGCAGCTAGTTCTGTGTGGGGAAACCACTGTGCTGATCTAACGTGCCCACCTAGCAAAATCCTACATTACGAATCAGGCTCTTGGATACTAAGGAAAATTCGTCTGACATCAAACAGGACACCTGTTAGCGTTACAAACTTACTGCTACAATTATCATCACTGAAGCAGGGAACAATTGTATTTGAGACAGCTCTGTGTAATCAAACAGGCCACAGCTCAGCCGCACAAACTGACAGCACTGATAAAGCACCTGCACAAAAAAGACTATTTACTTCGTTTCTCTGGGCCTCTCAAACCATGGTTTTAAAAAAACAAAAAACCCACGAAAATGCTGTTCTAAAACAAACAACAATTGACTGCGTGTCCAGGGCAAGAGCGATTAAGACAACTTATATAACTCCTTGCCTGAAACCAAGCAGATTTCGAGTGGATAGCTCCCCCCTCATGTACTCACTGTCCATGAAACGCCCAGAAGGGCCCCTTGCACAGGTACGAAGGTTTTCAACACAGACAACAAGCTAGAAAGAGCGACTGCAGCTTTAACCAAAGGCTAAGCTCGTTGCTTAACATTTCAAAACCCTTCCCTTCCTTCCTGAGGAGGGGTATCTCCGCCTGTTTACGCTTGGAAGAAGGAAGCCATGTGAAACCTCCCTCTTCCGGGGAGCCCCCCCGATGGGCTGCCCTGCAGCTGAGAAACAGGCCGGGCAGGAGGGGCAGGGCTGCGGAGACCAAACACAGCCCGCCGAGACAGGATCGCTGCTCGTAGGGGGTGCTTAATAAAAGCCATTTCCCGGAGCAGCTTGCAAGCCAATACCCCAGCTGCAAAGCAAGAGCCCCCCCGCCGCCTCCGGGAGGCCGAGGGGGGCCTGCAGAGCGGTACCGGGCGTGCAGGAGGCGTCCCG